CCAGCATGGCAAGTGGGGGGGGGCTGCAGCTGTTGCCGCTGTGGTGCAGCCCTGACGGACAAGCTCAGAGCCAGCATAGGGCCCAGGCTGGTAGCAGGGGTGGGTTACAAGCTGGTGCTGAGCATGGGGAAAAGCAGCCCCTCCCTGACCCTCACCATCCTGCAGCCGCTTGCAGCCTATGTGGGACTGCCTGTGCCTGCTCTGGACCATTCCATACAGCCTGAGAGCAGCTGCAGTAAGAAACGCCAGCCACAGGGCAGGAGAGGGGCCACTTTTTTCCCTGCACTTAGAGCTAGCTCATTACCTGCCACAGAGGAGGCGGTCAGGGCTGCATGCTGTCCTTGGCCTGTACTGTGGGGCTGGGGGGAAGCTGGAAGTGAGTGCATGCATGGGACCCACACTGGTGTCCCAGGGCCAGCATGGGCAGGACCCATAGCAGGGAGGCAGGAGTACAGGGGTCCTGGGAAGCGGGGGCTCTGGAGTAGGGCCAGCTCCCCCCTCTACCTGCTGGTGCAGCTAAACCCAGCTCCACAGACCCCTGCCAGCCTGTGCCCTGCTCTGGGCCCCACCAGCACTGGCCCTGAGACTTTGGTTTCAAGACATTGAGATATTGGTCCTAAGGTGGTGACCAGGGGGCAGGGCACCTGTCAAGGGGTGGGGCTACCCATGCAGCCCTTGACAGCTTGCCAAAACTGGGTAAGCAGCCCTCTGCCTAAAATAATTGGCCACCCCTGGGGTAGCTGCTGCCAGCCTGGGCAGCTCCCAGCAGGCATCTGGGATGCTGCAAGCCCTGCTGGGAGCAGCCTGGGCTCCATGGCTATCAGCAGCTATCCAGAGCCAGGGCCAGCTACAGCTGCGAGGCTACAAACAGCTGTGGGCCCTGGCCCTGGCCCCAGCCCCAACAGGCACAGTGCCAGCACCTGCTGCCTCCCGGAGCCTGGGGATGGGAGACAGCTGGGGTCGGGGTAGGAGGGCAGCAGCTGTTTGTAGCCTCCTGGCTGCAGTTGGACCCACCTCTGGGTAGCTGTTGATAGCCACAGAGCCTGAGCTGCTCCCATGGAATCCCTGCTGCAAGCAGCCTGGGCTCCGTGGCCATCAGCAGCTACCCAGAACCTGGGCCAGCTACAAACATCTGCTGCCTCTCCACCGTGGCCCTGGCCCTGGCCCCAGCCGCTTTCCAGACCTGGCCCCAGACTCCAGGGAGGCAGTACATACTGGTAATGCTCCCCACTGTGCTGCCCTTGCTGCTTCTGCAAAGCAGCGTTGGAACCCAGTGCAGCAGGGCACAGTATGGGGTGTAGAAAGCTGCCTGCTCCCTGTTGCCGTGCCACACTTTCCCTGCAGGCCGGGGCAGCAGTGAGGGGCACAACCCTGCACTGCTGCCCACACTGCTCCCGTGCACACTGGGGAAGTGTGGCAGGGCAGCAGAGAGCTGGGAGCAGACAGCTTTCTGCAACACCCCCCCCACTGTACCCTGCTGTGCCGGGTTCCAACAATGATTTGCAGAAGCGGTGAGAGCAGCACAGCGGAGAGCATTGCTGTTATGTGCTGCCTCCCCAGAGCCCAAGGCCGGGTCTGGGGCTGGGAGGCAGCTGGGGCCAGGGCTGGGGGTGGAGAGGTAACAGACATTTGCAGCTGGCCCAGGGTGGGGGTCAGGGGCTTTGGGTGGGGGCAAAGGGCAGTAGGGGTGGGGGTAAGGGCTTTGTGTGGGAAGCTAGGGTCATGAGCATGGCTAGGGGCAGGGGCAGAAGGAGGGCATCCTGCCATATACTCCCTGCTCTCATTTTGTTTTTCTGGTATGCCAGCACTCCAACACCTTCCAAAGTAGGCATTATGGGGTTTGTCAGCACTCCGGCCAAAAAACATTGCCTACCCCTGTAATAGACTATCCAAGTGGAATAAATACAATTACCTTGTACACACCCAATAAAAAAAAACTTCTTTCCATGTTCAAAGTGCTTTTTATTCTAAGAGTATAATGTGTTTATGCCATTTTGCATTAATTTGTATTATGCTAGATAGAAACATGATGCAAGGTAACCCAATGTAATATGACAAAGCACAGAGAAAATTAAAAACAAGATCAGGTCTAATCTATTTATATGGGTTTCTAATTTAAAGTAGAATAAGCAAACAGAAGCAAAGGGACTAGCAAAGTGTATGCAACCTTTATAAAGGAGCCTGTTATCAGAATTTGGGAAGTATGAAGTCTCTAAAGATGATCTATGTAAAAGTACTTCTGTATTCCGAATCTCTCTCCAAAGAGTTCTAACTCTTTTTATTATGTAGCTAAGTGGTTCCCATGAAACTAAACTCCTATTCTAATGCAGAATTGTCAAAAGAATAGATTTTAATAAAATACAATAATACTAAAAAGCAAGCCTTCAGCAGCTGTTCCTCGCACCTATTCTTGGAGAACATATTTTACAATTATATCAATAAATTTAAGATAAAGGTGATTTATTTTGTTATATGTGCACTTTTTGTACTGTGCCATATGTATAGTTGATGTGTTCTTAGTGAATGAGATCGTTACAGAAGAGGGTTTTTTGTTGTTGGTTTCCCCCCCGCAACATAGCACATTCCTAATAAAACAATTAATGGCAGAGAAGTATTTCACTTGTCATATTTTATTACTGAGTTATCTATGTGGACTAAATAGAATATGCTTTCAAAACAATGAATTGCAGCATAAAAAATTTAAAATTTTAAGTGTTTTGTTTACTTTCAAATTATAAAGTTCTTTGTTATTGACAGGATGTTTCCTTACACTTAAATTAGTGACAGTGGATGAATATTTTTATTTATTTACTTCATTCACAATAAACTTTGTTACTTTTTCAGACCAGTATTTCACTTGTGGATTTTTCTAGGTTACTGAATGTCTGAGAAGTGGTGAACAGGGAAGAGATGGTGAAACAAACACTTGCCTTCCCCACCACTCCTAATATGTGCTATAGCTCAGTAGTCATTAATTTATAGTCTTTTGGAAGGTGAGAGACTATTTCAATTCCCCCCCAGTAACACTCATCTGCAAAAAGGACTCCAGAGATGATCCTGAGAACTATACTGAGCCTCACTTATATTCCTGGCAGATTGATAGAATCTGTAATAAAGCATAAAATCAGCAGAATAAATATGATGTGCTGGGGAAGAGTAAACTTGGTTTTTGTAAAGAGGAAAGTCTGCCTTGCCTATCTACTGGAACCCCCTTGACCATGTGTTTATTAACATGCTCAAAGAACTCCATCTGATATATATACACACTAAAAAAACTTTTAAGAAGGTTTGTCACTGGCAACATTTTTACACAAATAGAGAAAAAGAAAAAGAATTGTCATGGGATTAGAGGGGAAGTTCTTTCATGGTCTGAAAGTTGATTAAAAGATATTAAACAAATTATAGGGTTAAATGGTAATTTTTTTTCAGCATGGAACAAGGTTAATAGTGGGGCATCTCAGGGATCTATACTGGGCCCAATTTTGTTCTGGGCCCAAGGAAAAGGGAGTGTATAGTGAAATCATGGTGTGCAGACCAGACTAAATAATTTTTTGGTAGTCAGATCATAATATAATGGGATTGGGAGGAGCTGCTTGAAGATTTAAGAAAGGTAGGTGAATGGGCAAAAAAGTGACAGATGGCAAGAGCAAAATAAAACTCATGGGGACAAATATACATACACAGTACTGGGCATTTACCTAGCTATTATGACTCGGGGAAGAAATGTTGGAATAACTTTTGTACTTTTCTAAGAACATTGACTCAATGTATAGCAGTAACAGAACAGCCAATAAAATGTTGGGTATCACTAAGAGGGGAATTGAAAACAAAACATCATGCCACTGTATAATCCACTGTGCACTCATATTTTGAATACTGTGTGCAGTCTCACCTTTCCCATCTCCAAGTGCCTGAATTAAGAAAGGTACAGAGAGGAGTAACAAAGTTGATCAGGGATATGGAACAGCTGCCATGCCAGGAAAAATTTTAAAAGGGTAGGACTCTTTAGTATGGAAAGAAGAAAACTGAGAAGCGGTATTATAGAAGTCAATAAAACCATGAAGAATATGGATAGTGAATAGGGAACTGTTGCTCCTCAAGTCCCAGAATAGAAGAACTAGGGGTAGCCTTTGAAATTATCAGGGAGAAGCTTTAAAAGAAGCAAGATTAAGTACTTATTTACACAGTGAGAGCATCTATATGTTGCCCTATAGCAGGGGTGGACAACCTGAGGTTCCAGAGCCATATGTGGCTCTTCAGAAGTTAATATGCATCTCCTTGAATCTTTGCACAAGCAGATGGTGACCAGCTTCCAAATGGAAGTTGATAATTCCAGATGGAGGCTAGTCACCGTGTACTTGTGCAAAGATTCAAGGAGATGCATATTAACTTCTGAAGAGCCTTATGTGGCTCCGGAGCCACAGATTGGCCACCCCTGCCCTATGGTGACATCGTTACTGTGCCATGCTTTAGTACTTCCTTAAAAAAACAAGATTGTAAACTAATCAGCTCCACAGTAAAGCACTGATTTTAGGGCATGGTAAATTAATTGACTCCACAGTAAGATAGTATTGGGGACAATGCTAGCTTATGGCAAAGTGATTTACTGAGCTGAAATACAAGTGTAGATGGTGACCATGGGCATAAATTGCACCTGGTCAGCCCAGCCAACTGGGTCTCTGTTCTACCCTGGCTCAAATTGCTGTTATCCAGGCTGCACATGTAGACTTTATGCCCAGGAGCAGTTTACTCCAGCTCAAACTGCTCATGAGTTTGTCATATTAATTGCATATATGTACATGCACCCAAAATGAATTATATACAATGACTGGGCTAGATGGACTATAGGCATGATTCCATATGGCAATTTTTATGTTCTTATAATTTGGATGGAGGAGGTATTTGAACTCAGGTTTGTCATATTCCAGTTAAATGTGTGGTATATAGAATATTACTTTTAAGGGGCCAGCAGTGGGATGATGCAGTCTCTCCCCCTGATGCCCTGTGGGTGTGGTTTGTGGTGGTGGGTAGTTCTAGTTCTCCCTGAAAGCTGTCAGCATGTAAGTTGCTGAATCCTTTTCCTAATAAACAGGGATCCGGGTTTTCCAGTTCCTACAGAAAAAAAGGAAAAGTATGGATTCCCTGTTTTTATTGGAGAAAATGCGGATTTCCCTTTTTAGCAAAGAAATCCACAGATTCTCTGATTTTTGCAAAAAGCTCTTGCAGGCTGGAACAAGCCTGCAAGAGCTGATTGTGGAAAGGGCAGGAAATCCACAGCTCTAGCCAGAGGGGGAGGGAGACAGGGAAGGGCAGGGCCTGAGCCTCTGAGTCAGCCAAGACTGGGCTCAGGCTCAGGCTTCCTCTTCACCCCTGGAACCTAGAGGTAAGTGGGGCTTTGGCCAAAACCAAAGGGATTAATGAGCAACTTGTAACAAAATATTTGCTTCTTGAAAGCATCTAGCAATGGCATATAGTTAATATTTAGCTAAGGCAGAGCTTGCAAGATTGTTTCCTGCAGACTTATCCTGTCTGTGATAAGCATAACCATAATGTTAAAATTAACTGTCTGTACCAATCATAAGACTAACATGGGCCCCAAGAAGCAGAAGTAAACAACAAAACTGCAAACCATAGCTGACCTAACAGTTTTTGCTTAAAGGTCAGTAAAAATGACAAACCTGACCACAAGGTATAATTAACACATTTCAAAAAAATTCCAAAAGGAAGTAACTAAGTGGGTTGAACTTAGGCAGGGAAAAATGCTCATCTCAGACCCCAAAGTGATGTGGTGTGATTTGCTTATTGGGTAAACCCAAGTTTAGGCAGTAATGTATTATAATAATTTTGAATACCTTTTAACCCCATAGGGTAACAGCGGTAGGGTAAGATTGTGAGTAGCTCTAAAGCCAACAGATTAGCATAGGAGAAGATATAAAGGAACACGCACGTCAGGTGACCAGTAGGAAGGATGGAACAGAATGGTCATTGCTGTTCCAAGCCCAGACTCCAGAATCCCAGTGTGAGCAAGGACCAGATCCTGACTGAGGGACTTTCCCCAGTGCTGACTCTGACAACATAGATCGGGGATGCCTGACTTTACTGGACCAACTTGATGTGTACCTGGCACTGAGGGACTATCGACAAGTTGCCAGCCAAGTGGGAACTTTTTGTCAATTTGTCTGTCTGTTTTTATTATCACTGCCAATTTTTAACTTTTTTATTGCTATATTGTCTGTTTATTAGCTTAACCTTTTTATTAACTGTTATACATGTAAACCATATTTTTCTGTTAAAACATATTTTTGTTGCTATAAGTAAAATTTATCTTTACTGTTATAAGTGAAACTTGTCTTTGCTTCACTCCCAACTCTGCCTCCTCGATCCTGAACCAAACAGCTCAGTGGCTCATACAGTTGCAGTGCCCAGTCAGCCTACAACTAAATTCATACACTAACAGTGCCCGTTGGCCTGTGACAGGGCTTGGGGGCTGTGGGGCAGGGCTGGGGAAGGTGGCTGGGGCTGAGGGAGCAGGGGGTGCTGCTGGCCCCAGGTAGCACACTGCAGTCAGGTGCAGGCTAAACAGCTCTGGTATGGCTCCGAAAGCAGCGGTAGTGCAGGGAGGTTGTGTGTGTGGCGGCCATCACCCAGGCACACAGCGGCTGTTGCTGCTTACCTGTAGGGCCATGTCAGCAGTGATGGCCACTGTGTACAAAGCCTCCCTGCACCCCCACTGTGGAGCCATGCTCGGAGCTCTGTGGCTGGCTGCAGCTGTGGCTGCCATGTGGCGCGGGGTGGTGGTGGGGATACCTGTGTGTCGTCCAGCCACCACCACACTGCTGCTGCCCCCTGTGGCTGGCACACAGCTCTGTGGCACCAAGGGGAGGTTTTGCACACAGCAGCTGTCTCCACTGGCATGGCCCTGCAGGTAAATGTCAGTGGCTGCATGTGCAAGCCCTCCCCCATTCATCTCGCACCACTGCTGCAGAGCTGGCTGTGGAGTTGTGCAGTCATCCACAAGCCAGCCTCTCCCTCCCCTGGGCAACTAGATGGGTGGTATGCATGCCTTGCATCACTTACCCATAAATCCCCCTGCAGAGGGGCACCCATGCCCTTAGCCCCCTGCCTTGCACCTGACTGCAGTATGCCATACAGGGGCAAAGGGCATGGCTTCTCAGTGGCTCCTCATCCCCTGACTCTGCTCCTGGGAGTGGGCACAGGGGCATGCTCCCCCCATTCTTGATCTATCCCCACAGCACCTTCCCTTTCCTCTGCCCTGCCCCCCTTCCCCCCCTTCCCCCTGCCACACACACACTTACCTGCTGGGGTGGGCATCTGTGTGTGCCTCTGTGCCTGCATATCCGTAGGTCTGGGGGGCTGTTGTGATGAGCATCAGGAGGGCTGTTGAAGCTGTGGGGGGAGTGTGGGGCACCAGCAGACCTGGGGGGGGGCTTTAAAACACCCAAATCCATGATAAAAATTAATCAGAGAATTTGCAATTTTTAATCAGAGAAAACCAGGATCCCTGCTAATAAAGATAAAGCTGTTTACCACTCCACTGCTCTCTGCTGAATGGTGACTCAAGGAGAGAACCCCAAAGGCTTGGAGGTCTGAGTGACCCTGGAACCCAATGGCATAGAGTAAACACTATATGGTGTCAGAAGTGACCTATCACTTGGTGGAGTCACAAGCATCCTGATTAAGGGGGTTACATCTTTCATTCAAAGAAAAAAAAAGGAGCATTTCAAGCCTCCAGCAGCATTATCCTTTACTGAAAAAACCTGGGGAGAATGGGAGAAGATGGGAAAAGAAGCCTCCAATTATACCTTGCAGTCACAGGCTGAGGAAGAGGCAGAGGATTACAAAATTGAAGTCATGCTTCACTGCATTGGGGATAAAGCCCTAGATATTTACAACAACATGCAAGGGGTGTTTGCAGACCTTAATAAAAAAAACCCTTACAGAGGTGCTTGTAGCATTCAAGAACTACTGTGAACACAGAAAAAACTCCTGTCTTTGAAAGGCATAAGTTCTGGCAACTCAGATACAATGATGATGCAGGCATAGATGATTTTGTCACAGAGCTCAGAAGCAGAGTACAGCATTGTGAATTTGGACCTGCTGAAGATGTTATTTTGAGGGACAAAATTGTCTTCAGCATAACTGACTGCAAACTCAAAGAAAGGCTTCTGAAAATCCCTCCCTTGCCCTAGCATGGGCTGTGGATATCTACAGAGCAAAGTCTCTCATAAGTGCTCAGGCCTGAGTTATGTCTGCAGAAGCAAAAATGCATACAGTTGACCAAAAGCAAAGATGCCAGAGCACTTTGCAAAAACAAAGCAAGCCATCAGTGAAGTTTACTCCACAGGAGGGCAATCAAACTAACAAAGGCAGAGCTTTCAGAAGGTGTGGAAGCACACACAAGCCTCAGTCCTGCCCAACTTTTGGAGAAATTTGTTACAAATGCTCAGGAGTGCTCACTTTGTGAAAATGTGCATATCAAAGGGAGATGCTCCAACATCTGAAAAAGGAGTCAGCACCCTATATGTCAGAACAATGTCTGCAAGGCAGCATTCACAGACCTTTGATAATCAGAATACCTGGTATAGCACAGTCATGATTGCTGGCTTACTAGTTGTTTTTAAGTTAGATACTGGAACAGAAGCAAACACTATCACAGCAGATGTAGCAAAGGCTTTGCAAGGCAAAGTATGGAAGGTTCCAGCTCATGTTATATCGGTTGCATTTGGTGGTCCATGCATCAAACCACAAGGTGAAATCACTGCACACTACAAATCTGGTGCTAATGACTTTGATTTAACTTTTTATGTAACAGACAATAGTGACCCACCAATACCCAGTAGAGTGGCATGCACTACCTTAGACCTTATCACTCAGACTAGTCCATGGAATGGCTCTGACAACATCTGCAACCAAGACAGACCTTCTCAAACTATACCCAGATATTTTTGAAGGTGTGAGCCAATTTCCTGGTACCCACCTGGCTAGCAAAGTATTCCAACAGAAGAATTATGAGTGCTTTGGTGCCATTCCAAGAATCCACATAATTGCAGATGAAATGCTCATTGCAGTGGTTACCAAAGAGGAGCTGGACACTATCCTGAAACAAGTCCTGGAGAGAGCACGTCTGAAAGTTTAATAAGGACAGAATACAGTTTTTAGTTGACTGCATTAGGTATATGGGCCATATCATCTCAAAAGATTGTGTTAAACCAGATGATGACAAAGAGGAAGCCATCAACAGGATTCCCTTTCCAACAGATAAAAAAGGCCTTCAGAGACTCCTTCAAACCATTCAGTACTTGGCACAATACATTCCACATGAGTCAAGCCTACGGCCCCACTGAGGGTGCTTCTCAGGAATGACGTTATCTGGCAATGGGGATCCAAACATCAGGCAGCCCTAGATAAGCTCAAGCAAACCATCGCAATGGCACCTGTGCTCAGGGACTTCAGCCCAGCAGAGATGCTGGAAATCAAAGCTGACACATCCAAAGATGGCTTAGGAGCATGTCTGTTTCACCAGAATCAACCTATTGCATATGCTTCAAGGGCTCTAACACAATCCAAGAGAAATTTTATGCAGATTGAAAAAGAACTTCTGGCAATTGTATTCAGCATGACAAAGTTCCATCAATATATGTGTGGCACCTAGATGCGGGTTCAGTCAGACCATAAATCCCTGGAAGGAATTTTGTGAAGCTTATAGGAAAGGTATGGCTACAGAGAATGCTGTTGCAGCTCCAAAAATATGACATCCAGATTCACTATACCAAAGGCAAAGACATGTTAGTGGCTGACACACTTTCTAGAGCCACAGTGCTTACTCCTCCTCCTGAACCTGATCTTTTCAACTCAGAAAAGGTGATTCATGGTCTGATGGAAATGGAGCCACTCAGTGACCAGTTACTCTAGCAGTTACAGGAGCATTCAAAGTCTGGCAAGGAACTACAGGCCCTTAGAGTGCAGCATCATAATGGATGGCCAAGCAGGCCAAATGAAGTCAAACCTGAACTAAAGCCCTACTGGCCTCTCAGAGACCAAATCTAGATTCAGGGTGATTTGCTTATGATTGGGCTGAAAATAATCATTCCAAGTGGTGCAAGGGCCAACATGTTAACATTGCTTCACTCACCCCATCAAGGCATATAAGGGTCAAAAAGGCAAACTTGATAACTCGTGTATTGGTCTAAAATGAATGCTCACATCAAGCAATGGATTGCAAATTGTGCACCTTGTCAAGAGCTCCATCCCCGTAATCAGAAAGAGCCCATGATCTCACATGGGATTCCAGACCTGCCTTGGCTAAAACTGGCAGCAGGCATTTTTGACCTATGGGGACAGTCTTATTTGACCCTAGTCAACTATTACTCCAAGTACCCTGAAGTTTTGCACCTGCCAGACAAAACAGCTGGCATGGCAGTAGGCAAAATGAAGTCTGTATTTGCTTGCCATGGCATACCTAAAGAAATTGTCTGTGATCACGTGCCATTTTCAAGTTACATGATGAAACAATTTGTGACTGAATGGGTGACTAACCATCACCCGTTCTAGCCCAGGTTACCCACAATCCAATGGGCAGGCTGAACACACAGTTCAGACCATCAAATCAATGTTTAAGAACACTTTGCAGGATGGCTCTGATCTATATCTGGCTTCACTCAATCTAAGGAACGTACCCATTACTGGTCTTGAGTATGCACCATCGCAGCTTCTGATGGGGAGACTTTTGCACAGTACCCTCCCTGCTACAAAGGTGGTGCTAACTCCTAGACTACCATCAGCTGCTTAAGCACAAGTTGCAGAACCTTCAAAGGCACCAAAAGTGTTGTCCTGTGGGGTTAGGCCAACGATCAGGGTCTCAATATCACACTGTTAGACAGGAGGGCATGGTGTACAATTGCAAATACAAACAAATCAGTTAGATGCACACACACGCTCTAGGTGCATACATCCCCACTTGGCACGCACACATGCCCTACCAACTCAGGCACATACACATCCAAAGTTGCCAGCCTAGGCACATGCAGACCTATCACCAATTCAAGCACCTATATACTATACACACCAAAAGTTAGATAAAATTCAGTTGTCAATACCCACGCTCCCAATACACATACAGGGATCACTAATTCGTATATCATACACATGATGACACACACACACATATATATATTCACCAGTTCACACACAAACCACCTACATACACACAGGTGCATTCCTAACTTGGATGGTATGGTGTGAGTACATGTGTGCTTAGGGTACTTAGGATACTGGGGGGGGAAGGTTAAGGTGAAAGAGAGAGTTAAAGTGTAGGGAGTGAAAGTTGCTGGAACTGGGATTAGAACCAGTAGACTAGACAGAAGCTGGCTGAGGAACTGAGACTTAGACCTACTTTAGGTTAATTGACCTTAATTGATTAAAGAACAATGCCCAAAGCCTGCAGAACAGGGCAGTGATGCGGGAGAGAAGCCAGCACAGAGGCTGGGACTGCAGCCAGAGCCATGGGGAAGCCAGAAGATAATCGGGGAATGGGAAATTGGGACTGGGGCTGCAGGGGAGCTAGAGAGGGTGTGGAGGGAATTGAAAGATGGCTCAGGAAACCAGAGCTGTTGGAGAGGGACTGCTGGAGAGCTCAGGAAGCTATGGGGGGAAGAGCTGCCAGTGCTGGTAGCTGGAGAAGGAATCCAGCTGCCATGAAAACTGCGGGGCAGCCTGGAGGAGTTGTGGGGAAGTCAGTGGCAGGCCAGAGGACTGTGAAGGAGAGGGGGCAGCTAGAGAGGGTGTGGGGAAAGCCAGAGAACAGAGGAGGGGGGTAGGAAAAGTTGGGAAGAGAAGGCAGAGAGAGATAGAGAGTGGGGAGAA